GTCATCCTGTTTCATCTTTGCTGGTATTCTTTATGGCTTTCACTCCCTCCCCCATGATCTTGATGTTAATGCAGTATTGGAAGAATTTGTTGGAAGTTCCTACAACCATGTTGCTTCCAGTTTCTTCTTTTGACGTCCGTACAACCTTTCAAAATGTCGTCTTATTTTCAATTGTAATATATTTTTGGTGTTTGTATAATTGGTTTTAATATTTAATCAGGTAAGAATAATGAGCCAATATATGTACTTTATTGAAGCTTATTAATATTATTTTGTGAATATCTCAATCCATTTCCAAATTATGCTTTGGTTCCCTATTACTTATGGGAGATACTGTGTAAGAATTCTATGCAATATTTTTGTACTATGAAAAGTGAGCTTGAATATTAAAACTTTGTTTGTTTGAAAATATTGATTCAAGTGAGCTAGCTACCTAGTGTCAGCTTTTATTAGGAAAAAAGCCTAAAAGATCCCCATCTATTTCTTTCTCTTTGTCAATTAATTTGTACATCTGATGCTGTCTCTGTGGGAATGTTTGAAAACAGTTTGGCAGATGAATCCCATTCACAGGTAGCTGGTGTGCACTTAATCAACTCTGGTTTTATATGATGGATTTTCTAATTATAATGTTCTGCAGGTTAAGCTGGTTGTAGAATAATTTGATTATTTATTCCTCAGGGAAATGTGTAAGATTGTTGTAATTGTAGTATACAAAGCAAATTATTTTTGGTTTGTACAGCTGATTTGGCAATAGTTTCACTTCCTTGAGATATTTTGCATGCATATGCAGACGTGTCTTTAAAATAACTCACTATATATTCACTCTGTGAGCTTGAGAAACTTGAAGGAAGTTGTGTGGATTCTCTCATTTCCCATTCCCGGTTTAGAGTTGTATTAAACAAATGCAAAATGTGTGGAGAAATGAGTTGCCTCCTTGCCTTTCTATTTAAAGACACAATTTCAAATCTACTTGTTTAACTAATGTTTTGGTCATCTGAACTAACATCCCGCTATATGGCTTGATGTTGTTCTCTGTAGTGCTTCTGTGAAACACCTTGCTGTGCTATGATAAGTATGAATGTAGTTTCTTTTTGTTGTAACTAGAATGGAGTCACAGGAGGTCTCTGGCCTGTCTTTGATACAACAACTAATTACACCAAAAAAGAAATTTTAACTGGAATTGAGCAGAGATCTCTTTTGATTTAAGGCAAAAATAATTAAACATTGATGGTCAAATAATGTGTTTGACTTGAGTTTGAAAAATTGGTCTCACTGTCAATCTTTTCAAGTTTTGTATTGATCCAAAAAGAGTTAGTTGTTGCAAGACAACTGAATAATATTAATAGCATGAATTTTGCAAACAGTGGCAAAGTGACAGCTGCCAATAAAGATCTCTTTTTAAAGAAAAGCTGTCTACAAGATCTAACCATCTCTGTACCATGAATTTCACCCTTTCCAACATTAATTTGAATATTGTGCCAGGCTTGGGGTTTCCAGAAGACCAGGTACAGCAATGTTACTAAGGAATACAAGTAGCCAAGCACACTGAAGAATTCTCTTGGATCATGCATCAGAAAGTAAAAGGTTTATTCCTCATTTAGAAGTTTTGCAGAGTGAGACTGCACATTAGAAACTGAAATATCACCAGCTTCAAAAATATGTACTGTTACTTTAAGCATGGAATTTTCATCATTTGACATTACACAAATATAAAAATAATATTCAGGGCCAGAAACTTTTACCTCTTAGCTTTAATCTGTGCCCTGGTTATTTACTAATTGAAACAGTGCCTTCCTATCCACCCTATCTATGCCTCTCTCAATCTTATATGCCTTTATCAGGTCCCCTTTCACCCCTAGTTGCTCCAAGAGAAATAATCCCAGTCTATTCAATCTTTCCTCATAGCTCAAAACTTTCAACCCAGACAGCATCCTAGTAAATCTGCTCTGCACCCTCAAGTATAATCGTATCCTTCCTATAATGTGTCAACAAGACCTGCATGCAGTACTCCGGTTATGGCTTAGCCAGCATTTTATGTAGTTCCAGCATTAACCATCTTGTTCTGTTGCCTTGTTAACTTGTTAACTTGCCTCAGTTAATAAAAACAAGTATCCCATATGCCATCTTAACTACTGTATCTACCTGCCTTGAGGGGTCTGTGGATATGTACAAAAAGGTGCATCATAGAATCCCTACAGTGTGGAAGTAGGCCATTACGCCCATCAAGTCATGCTGACCATCCGAAGTGTTATTTCCTTGCTATGAGTGCCATATAGAGTTAAACTTAGTTTTGACCCCTTTAGTTAGGTTTTTAAGTACACCACTGACTTTTTCCAGGTTATGACCAGATATATTTTCTCCAGGGCTTGCTTCAAGGCCATATTTAAATGAACACACATACCTGTCTGGTGTGTTATCTTCACCTCTCCTATCGCCTTCGATGATGGAGTGAAGGCAGGATATTTATGACAAAAGGAACGATCAGCTACAGTATTCTCACAGCTCAAGCATAGTGCTTTTCGTAAAACTGATTTGCAGACTTTGACATGAATCTGTGTCTTGACTATTATCTTTTTGTTCTGTTTACCTGTCATGCAATTATTCAGTCAGGGTACCAATTTCTTCCTTGCCCATTCAACTGCCTTGAGACAAATCCAGCACACAGGACTTCACCAAACTAGTTTACATTCATTAATAGGAAGGACATCAAAATGACTATAGTGATAGTGTAAATAATACATTGGTTTAGAATGTTTTTGTGTGTGTGTGTGTGTGTGTGTTTACACGTGTATTTTAGCTTGTACCTGAAGATGGTATGCTACTAATCTGTCACATCTTTTTTGTGTTCTGGTTCCTCTTCTTGCACTGTCTTCACGCTAGAGGCACTGCACACAAAGCCTTCCTTAGCCATTTCCAACTATGCCTGTTTAAGAGGTTGGCTTCTTCCTCCCATCCTTAAGAGAGTACACCTCACTGCTGTCCCTTATCCTTCAGGGTGGCCTCTTCTTGGTTTTAAGAATAAAATACCTAGGGAGCAGCTTTCCCAGGTCTCCTCTCCATTCCTGCAATTGCTGCAGCTTGAAAAATCCAAGTGCTGGTGAGCTCTTGTAGTTTAATAAGGAATCTTTCACTTGATAAAATGGGCATGCCATCCTGTCCACTATCGCTAATTGGTCAGGGAATCCGGAGATGGAATGATGATGCCAAATCAAGTGCCTTGGTAAAGATAATTTATCTTTTTCATTCTGGTTCCTAGCATGGAATTGGCTCGTCTTTCTGGCAGGGATTGCCCTGAGAATTCTGCCCTTAGCATTGGATAATTGCTATAAATCAAAGATCAAAAAAAGTTGTATAAAGTATTTTGTGTTCAAATACTTGCATCCCTTACTGAAAGTATGCTGAATGCAGTAAACATAGACTCTCAAGTTGTTTTTCTCCTTTCTTAAATGTTGGGATAATGCTTGTTACCAAATATCTGCTTTCTATGGAACTGTCTCAAGTATTAGCCAGAATCTTTGCATTCCCCCCACCCTTGTTCTTTAAAGATTTTATGATGTATCCCATCCAGTTCTCTTACTTATTTCATCAAGTTCCTTCTAGAATGTTCCATATTGGTTGACAGAAATTAGCAATTTTGTGCATGATTTGGCTCGTTATTAGTTTCTTTAAACATAAAAGGATTGTTAGAAAAAGTTGATTTTGTCAGAAGAATGTCATCTTATTTTGTCGTCATAAACCTATCAGTTTGCTTGCCAGCCAAGACTTTAAGAATGGTGCCAACAGACTGCATAATGTATAAATATATGCATGACAAGCTGTTTCCTTTGAATTTTTCTTCTTTTTGTTCAATGGAATACGAACATCACTGGCTTGGCCAGAATTTATTCCCCGTTCCTAAGTGTGCTGGACAACGTGGTGGTAAGCCACCATCATGAACCACTGCAGTTCTTGGGATGTAGGAGCATCCCACAGTGCTGTGAGGAAGGGAGAAGATTTTTATCCAGTTATTTAAATTGTTAAAGGCTCAAACACTCTAGTGTTTTTATTGACTTCCACTTTTGAAAGTGATGAGTTTTATCTGGAACCATCAAAGACAATGTTTAAATCCTAAATGATATTTTTTAAATTCATTGACCAGGTGAGGGTATTGCTGGCTAGGCAGCATTTATTACCCATCCCTAATTGCCCAGAGGGCAGTCAAGAGTCAACCACATTGCTGTGGGTCTGGAGCCACATGTAGGCCAGACCAGGTAACAATGGCAATTTCCTTCCCTAAAAGACATTAGCAATCTATTTTCAGTAGGTGAGAGTGTAGAGCCTGGGGCCATGGTGAAAGATTAAATGTTAGATCAAAAGGAAAAGAATATTTACATCCAGTTGTGATTTTGTGAAATTCACATCCAAGAAGAACATATCAACATTCCAAATTAAATCAAGCTTCTAGACCATGTATTCTGATGGGTTTTTCCTGACAATCGACAAAGGATTCAGAGTCATCAATAGATCCTTGATTCCAGATATTTACTGAATTCAAATTCCACCCTCTGCCATGGTGGGATTTGAACCCGGGTCTCCAGAATGTTGTCTGGGTCTTTGGTCCAATGATAATACCACTAGGTCATCACCTCCCTAAATTAACTCCAGTAGGGAAAAGAAATCTTTAGTAAGAAAATAATTACATTACAGTTTAGCACTTTTCCTAAAATACAAGGAGCAAGTGAAGTTAATAACTACTGGTCACTTATTTTGTTCCTATTCAAATTAATATTTTTGGCAATTCAAACCATAAAGTAATTTTTAAATTTCTGTTCGGCTACCATACAAAATAGTATGTGCAGTAATTTAAAGACAAAAAGATGCCTCTTTTAGATAAGCCTGATAATCACTTTCAAAGTTTTTGGTTTTGAATGATTAATGAACATACTAAAGGTGTGTTGTAATATGTTAGCTGTGTACATGCAAGCCTGTATTCTAAATCAGCTGTCCTTTTCCTTTTTCAGGTATCACGAGAAGTGCGAGCAATGCAGAAGAATATCTTGATGATGAAGACTCTGATTAAATTTTTCTAAAGTTCAAACGTCAAACACTTACTAATATTCTTCTGTGTTTTTATCCCCATTTTGCTTGAATTATCTTGGCACCTGTAAATCAAAACAAAACAAAGTTGCTGAAATTCAATACTGAACTGTGGTGTTATTCCAGAAATTTTACATTTTTGTTTTCCTGGTTTCATTTATCTATACACTCTGTGCTGTGATCACACAGAAAAATGTGATCTGAACTTATTATCTGCTCTTTTTATTTAAATCACTAAGCTGATGCCAATTTAACTAATTTGAAATGTGCAGAAATGTGCAAAGTGTGGATTTTCAAGTGTAATTTAACAGCAATACTTCATGCTGAAAATAGTCTTCCTTGAGACTATTTGAAAATGTAATACATGCATTCTGACAATCAAAAAAGATTAATTTGCTGAAAAGCCAGTTTATGGTTTCCACCAAAGTGGGTGTACCCCTGCATGTTTGCATGTTATGTTTGAGACATTAATGTGTTCCCTATTTGTTGCTGTGGACTCTGGCAGCCATCATAATATGATGGCGACAAAGAAAAAAAAATCATCTTTTGAACCTTGATGCTGCCAATCTAGCTACAACATAACTAAAATACAACACTTTTTTGTTATTGGCATTCAGCTTTTTTTTTGACAATTTCCTTACAGCGCTTATAATACCAACATGACTTGACTTGATCATGCATGACAATAACAGTTGAAGTTAACCCCCATCTCTCCCCCTTTACGGTCCCTTAACTACTGCCATGTTCTGTATTTTGGTGATTTGTAGCTGTATTCTTGTTCATGTTGTAAAGCATTGCTAATGTTGTGACGTTTTATCCAGCTAGAAGCTGCTGCAGTTTTGATGTCATTTTCTGCATTTTTAACTTCAACCGGCTCCTTAACTCACTCCTCACCTATGCTACTTAAGACAGATGGAAGCAATATTTAATGGTTAGTGATAGTTTTTCTCTGAATTTGTGAATTGGCTGCTCCGATCATTTAATGGAGTGTGTTAAATTCAAAATTTGCTCCTTCTCGCATGTAAACTTGATTTCACTATGCTTCATTTTATGAACCTGTCAAGTTTATGAAATATTTGAAATACCTCAATTTGGAATGAGTAACACATGCCTTTAACTAGCTTGACTGCATGGCGTTTTTATGATCTCTCTCAAAGTTCTGATTACAACTAAGTAGGGCTTTTGCATTAGATTAATTCATCCATATGTGGGGGGGATAAAACCAATGTTATGCCCACAATTGGATATCTGAAAATCAGTAGAAATATAAAGTAAGTCAATGTGAATGACTCAGTTTGAATATTGTGCTTCTTTCTCTCATCCTGATCATGTTAAATACATGTTGAGAATTTGTAAAAGACAATACAACTTTCAATTTTTAGAACAAAGATCAGCCTCTCAATCAATTGATTGATTGGGAAGGCACAGTGCAGACTTCTTTCAATGGATGAAATACATTTCAACCCAAGTGGCTTATCTAGATGGGTGCTGATGCTGTTTGATTGGCCTCATCAGAAAAGAGGATGTAAAATTATGGAATAATGCAAAAGACCATTCCAGTTTAGAGCAGGAGTTGGGTATAATGTCCCTCATGCCTTCACCATCCATAAGATTGTCACTGATCTGATTGTAGCTTTAACTCCATATTCCCACCTACCTCTGATGTCCTTTGACTCCCATGTAAACGTAGAACCTTCATTACATGTGCCTTTAAAATTGCTCCATTACCTGCCTCCACTGTTCTCTGGCAAAGAAAGTTCCAAATCTCAGACACTGAAGGAAAAACATAATCACTCCACCTTAAATGGAAGACCTCTTGGTTTTTAAAATGAACCTGTAATGGGAAACATAATTCCAACATCAACCTCAAACCCCTCAGGATCATGTATGTTTCAATAAGATCATCATTCGTTTTCTGAACTCCAGTGGATATGGGCCCAGCCTGCTGGATCAGGAGGTAATCCATCTCCTCCCCTCCCTCTTCATCCCTCTTCCCACAAAAATTCCAGGTGTGAAGTGAGCTGCCTTTTAATACAATTATATTGTCTCTTAAGGAGATCAAAACTGTACGCAGTACTCCAAATGTAGTCTCACCAATGACCTGTGGCAAAACATGCTGCCTCAATCACTTGCCTTACCTGCAAAGCAATTTTGAGATGATGCCCTGATCTCTCTGTGCTATGTTCCTTTGCAGACACCGTGTGTCCACTTACTGTCCTGGTTTTATTTGTCATCAAATTTAAGTCATAATTATGGTTCCTTTGTCCAGGTTATTGTGAGAAATTGTAAATAGTTGAGGCCCCAACACTGAAAATAACAGTTTCATGTTTAAATGACCCTATAAAACAAAATCACGTTCATATGCCATAAAATGAAGTGTTCAGTTTGTAGCAGCTAGATTAGTCTGTTTTTCCCATCTCTGCATTGCTGCAGACTTGATCGTTTTATAGCTGTTTTATTATAATTGATCTCTAGTGAAACTTGGGACCATATGTAAATATATAGAAAACCAATGGATTACAAATTTGATATGAGAATTGGAGAAAAATGAATTTGAATGTTAGGAGGAGCTTTTAGATTACTATGAAATTCAAGGCTTCTGCTTTTTAAATGCTTATTCTTGGATGATACAGTTCAGTAAACATAAAATCTGAAGTGTAAAATTAATAATAGGGTGAACATAACTCTCTTCTATAAATTTTTAGATTTTGTGCTTTAAATATCCTTTGTAGCTATCGAACTTTAGGTCCATTATATGTTATGGAGGAAGTGCAAAGTGAATTTCTGTGCACTTTGAATATTTTATAACGTAATTTAAGAAATATGACATCGAGTTGCCGCTGTTCTTGGAATAAATGTTTTGAAGAAAATAGCATTTGAATGTTATTCATAACACGCACTAGAGAAGAGATGTATAATTACACTCAAAGATCAGGATTTCTTTTAGTAGCATTCAGAAGCTGTCTCGTATGTAAAATATAATGTTAGTTTTCCTGCAGTTCAAGTGTTGTCAGTTTCTGCCGTGGGTCGTCTTATAACGGAACAAGTTGATTCTTGATCTAAAGATCGTAGAAACATGGAAAATATGTGCAGGAGTAGGTCATTTGGCCCTTTGAGCCTGTACTACCATTCAATACGATCATGACTAATCATGCAATCTCAGTATCCCATTTCCAACCTCGCCCCGTACCCCGCCTTGATCCCTTTAGCCGTAAGGGCTACATCTAGCTCCCTTTTGAATATATCTAATAAACTGGCTCCAACTGCTTCCTGTGGGAGAAAATTCCACAATTCTGAGTGAAGAAATTCTTCCTCATGTCAGTCCTGAATGGCTTGCCCCTTATTCTTAGACTGTGAGCCCTTGTTCTGGACTTCCCCAACACTGGAACATTCTTCCTGCATCTAACCTGTCCAGTCCCATCAGAATTTTGTTTCGATGAGACTCCGCGCCCCCTCCCCCACCCCTTATTCTTCTAAACTCCAGCAAATACGAGCCCAGTTACTCCAATCTTTCTTCATATGTCAGTCCTGCCATCCTGGGAATCAGTTCAGTGAATGTTTGCTGGATTTCCTCAATAGCAAGCATGTCCTTCCTCAGACTAGGAGACCAAAACTGCGCACAGTCCTGAAGGTGTGGCCTCACCAAGGCCCTGTATAACTGCAGCAAGACATCCCCACTCCGATACTCAAATCTTCTCGCTGTGAAGGCCAGCATGCCATTAGCTTTCTTCACTGCTGCACTTGCATGCTGACCTTCAGTGACTGTTTCACCATGACACCTAGGTCTCATTGCACCTCGCCTTTTCCTAAACTGATTGCATTCAGATAATAATCTGCCTTCCTGCCTCACATTTACCCACATTATATCGTATTTGCTCACTCAGCCAGTCTGTCCAACTCACCTTGCAGCCGCTTAGCATTCTCCTCACAGTGCATAGAGCCACCCAGCTTGGTATCATCCTCAAATTTGGAGATACTGCATTCAATTGGTCATCTAATCACTAATGCATATTGTGAATAGCCGAGGTCCCAGTGCTGAAACCTCTGGTACCCTACTTGTCACTGCCTGACATTCTGAAAAGGACCCTTTTTATTCCAACTCTCTGCTTACTGTCTGACAGTCCGTTCTCTACCCATGTCAATACATTACCTCTGAGACCACGAGCTATGATCTTCCTTACTAACCTCTTTCATGGAACCTTGTTAAAAGCCTTTTGAAAGTCCAGATACACAAACTTACTGATTCACTCAGAGATGGTAAGAACTGCAGCTGCTGGAGTCAGATAATACTGTGGAGTTGGAGGAACACGGCAGGACAGGCAGCATCAGAGGAGCAGGAAAGTTGACGTTTTGGGTCAGGACCTTTCTTCAGAAATGTGGGAGAGGGGGAAGGGAGCTCAAATAGAGAGCGGGGTGGTGGGGCTGGGGGAAATACGTGGGATGGTGATAGGTGAGTGCAGGTAGGGAGTGGTGGGGATTGGTCAGTGAAGTGGGTGAGAAGATGGACAGGTTGTGTCAGGTCAAGGCGACGGGGATGAAAGGGAGGGTTGGTCGGGATGAGGCTGGGAATGGGGAGATTTTGAAACTGGTAAAATCCATGTTTAGACCGTTGGGCTGTAGGCTCTCGGCGCAACGTGAGGTGCTGCTCCTCCAGTTTCTGGGTGGCGTCATTGTGACACTGGAGGAGGCCCAGGATGGACATGTTGTCCAGGGAGTGGGAGGAGGAGTTGAAATGGTTCGCAATAGGAAGGTGGTGGTGTTTGTTGCAAACAAAGTGCAGGTGCTCTACAAAACAGTCTCTGATCCTCTGCTTCATCTCACCGATTGTAGAGGAGGCCACATCGGGAGCAGGGGATTCAGTAGGCCACATTGACAGATGTGCAGGTGAACCCCGTCTAATAAAATTTAGAACAGTACAGTACACTACAGGCCCTTCGGCCCATGATGTTGTGCTGACCTATTATCCTACTCTAAGATCAAACTACCCTGCGTACCCTACATTTTACTATCATCCATGTGCCTATCCAAGAGTTGCGTAAATGGTCCCTAATGTATCTGACTCCACTACCACCGCTGGCAGCGCATTCCACGCACCCACCGCTCTGTGTGAAGAACCTATCTCTGACATCTCCCCGAAACCTTCCTCCAATCATTTTTACCCTGTGAAAAAGCCTCTGGGTATCCACTCTACCTATGCCTCTCATCATCTTGTACACCCCTATCAAGTCACCTCTCATCCTTCTTCGCTCCAATGAGAAAAGCCCTAGCTCCCTTGACCTTTCCTCATAAGACCTGCCCTCCAGTCCAGGCAGCATCCTAGTAAATCTTCTCTGCACCCTCTCTAAAGCTTCTACATCCTTCCTATAATGAGGTGACCAAACTGAACACACTATTCCAATTGTGGTCTAGCCAGGGTCTTATAGAGCTGCAGCATAACCTTGCGGCTCTTAAACTCAATTCCCCTGCTAATGAAAGCCGACACACCATTTGTCTTCTTATCAACCCTATCAACTTGGCTAGCAACTTTAAGGGATCTATGGACGCGAACCCCATGTGGAAGGTTTGTTTGATGCCTTGAATGGAGGTGAGGGGGGAAGTATAGGGGCAGGTGTAGCACTTCCTGCAGTTGCAGGGAAAGGTGGTGGGGCTAGTGGGGAGCGTGGAGCAAACGAGGGAGTCGAAGGCGGATGGGGTGGGGAGGGAAATATATCCCTGGTTGTGGCATCCGATTGTAGGTGGCGGAAGTGACAGAAAATGATACATTGGATACAGAGGTTGGTAGGGTAATATGTGAGGGCAGAGGTGCAGGAAATTCAAAAGATGCGGTTGAGAGCATTTTCGACCACTGAAGGGGGGAAATAGGAGGACATCTGGGATGTGCGGGAGTGGAACACCCCATCTTGGGAGCAGACATGCTGGGGGTGGAGGAATTGGGAGTAGGGGACTGCATTCTTGCAGGAAGGTGGGTGAGAGGAGGTGTAGTCCAGGTAGCCGTGGGAGTCAGTGGGCTTGAATTAGATGTTGGTTTCCAGGTGGTTACCAGAGTTGGAGACAGAGAGGTCCAGGAAGGAGGGGGGAGGTATCAGAGATGGTCCAGGTGAACCTGAGGTTGGGGTGAAAGGTGTTGGTAAAGTTAATGAACTGTTCAAGCTCCTTGTGGGAGCAGGAGGCAGCGCCGATACAGTCATCAATGTAGCGGAGGAAGAGGTGGGGGATAGTATCAGTGTGACAGCCGAAGAGGGACTGTTCCACATATCCCACGGAGCTTGGGCCCATGTGGGTTCCCATGGCCACCCGCTTAGTCTGTAGGAAGTGGGAGGAGTTAAAGGAGAAGTCATTAAGGGTAAGGATGAGCTCAGTTGAGCGGATGAGGGTGTTATTGGAGGGGGACTGGATGGGCCTGCGGTAGAGGAAGAAGTGGAGGGCTTTTAGGCCATCTGCATGGGGAATGCAAATGTACAGGGATTGGAGGTTCATGGTGAAGATGAGGTGTTGGAGGAGGTGGAGGGCATGGGTGGTGTCCTGGACGTAGGTGGGGAGTTCCTGGACCAGGGGGGAGAAAATAGAGTCAAGGTAAGCGGAGATGAGATCAGTGGGGCAGGAGCAGGCAGAGACAATGGGTCGGCCAGGGCAGCCAGGTTTGTGGATTTTGGGAAGGAGATTAGAAACAGGCGGTGCGGGGTTGTGGAACGATGAGGTTGGAGGTTGTGAGTGGGAGGTGATGAGGTTGTGAATGATTTGAGAGATGATGTTTTAGTGGTCATGATTGAGGGGGTGGTGGTAGGAGGAGGTGTCAGAGAGCTGGCGCCTGGCCTCGGCGATGTAAAGGTCAATGCGCCATGCCACAACTGCGCCTCCCTTGTCCGCAGATTTTATGGTGAGGTTCGGGTTGGAGCGGAGGGCTGCACGTTCTATGGGGGAGAAGTTGGAGTGGATGAGAGGGATGGAGAGGTTGAGACGATTGATGTCTCGATGGCAGTTGACGATGAAGAGGTCAAGGGAGGGTAGGAGGCCTTGGGGTGGTATCCAGGAGGATGTGGTGTGTTGGAGGCAGGAGAAGGGGTCTCTATAGGGTGGGTTAGACTCGTGGTTAAAGAAATAGGAACGGAGGCGACAGAAAAAGTGTTTGATGTCCAAACGTGAACAGAATTCATTGATGTGTGGGCACAGGGGAATGCAGGTGAGTCCTTTACTGAGGACTGACCATTCCCCCTCAGTGAGGGGGAGGTCTGGTGGGGTGGTGAAGACAATTCATCATTGTCTACTGTATTGGTCACATCCCCAAAACATTCCAGCAGATTTGTCAAGCATGATTTCCCTTTCGTGAATCCATGCTGACTAGGGCCAATTTTGTCACTGCTTCCCAAATGCCCAGTTATCAATAATTAACTCCAGCATTTTCCCTGCCACTGATGTCAGGCTAACCAGCCTATAATTCCCCATTTTCTCTCCCCACTTTTTTAAAGAGTGGGGCTACATTAGCTACCCTCCAATCCATTAGAGCTCTTCTAGAGTCAGTAGAATGCTGGAAAATGATCACCAATGCATCCAGTATTTCTACGGCCTCTTCCTTGTGTACTCTGGGATGCAGAGAATCAGGCCATAGGGACTTTATCGGGTTTAATCCCATCAATTGCCCCAATACCATTTCCTGATGAATAAGGATTTCCTTCAGTTCTTCCGTGCCTGACCCTCTGTCCCCTAGCATTTCCTGAAGATTATTTGTGGTCTCCTTAGTAAAGACAGCTCCAAAGTATTTGTTCAACTGGTCTGCTATCTCTTTTGTCCATTATGAATTCACCTGATTCTAACTGCAAGGGACCTACGTTTCTCTTCACCTGTCTTTTTCTCTTCACATATCTATAGAATATA